AGTCACGTGACTGTCTGGAACGGCTACTGCGTTGATGCCTTGGTGCCTGTCAAACTCGGCATTTACAGCCGGACGTCGTGTTTCCCTCCGTTCCCTTTGTTCATCTTCCCTCTTGCATTCTCGGGGCTATTGTTCGCCTATTTACTCTACCCCCAGACGAACAGTCTGTGAAATTGAGGACTGTCCGGACTCATACTCTCATGTGGACTTGTTGACAGCGTGGTTGATCCGGGTTCCATCTTCAATCAAACTTTCCTCATTCCGATCCGAGCACTGATCGGGTTTATTATGGCCCCCATCAACTTGCTCACTCGTCTCCGGACGCTTTACTCCAAGGATTACGGTAGGTTCTTTACACCATCGCTTCTCGGACTGAGTGCTAACACCTTGTTCAGATGAACCAGCTATCTCAACGGCGGCAGCAGCTTTCTTCTCGGTAAGCGATCCAGACAGCTCGTTGAAGTAGATAGCGATGAGATCGCAAGGTCAACTTTGACTAAGATGCGGATTCCAGGTCTTCCTGACTCTTCTTTACGTGATTCCATTCTACGTGAATGTAACCACACGGCCGTCCCCCACTCTGAGTCGCGATGCACCATCAGTGATCCGGGCGAGAATCCGCAGCGTGACCCTCTCATGCATCGCGAGCACTCTCATCGTCGCCTGGCTGATCATCGGCAAAGACGACGGGTCTCTGACGGAGGCCCTCAAACTCCTGGGGTGGTGGCCCGTCAGCTTTGCCGACATCTTCCGCAGCCTGCTGCTGACAGCTATCCTCTTCGCGGGGCCTTTGTTCGAAAGAGGCATCGCCGAGGGGGAATGGTGGGACTGGATCCAGGGTAGCCGGATCAGCGCTTCCCTGCGCAGCTGGATCGGCTGGAGAAACTACGTGGCGGTAGGTTTGAGCTCTCGTTCGAAACGCCCAACAGCGTGGCTAATCATTGAAAAAAAAAAAAACAAAAATTACAGGGCCCAATCACCGAGGAAATCATGTTCCGCTCAGCGATTGTCCCGCTGCATCTGCTGGCCAAGGTGTCTTCGGGCCACATTGTCTTCGTAGCACCCTTGTACTTTGGCATTGCGCACGTGCACCACTTCTACGAGTTCCGCCTCACGCATCCCGACACCTCGGTGGTCGCAGCGTTACTGCGCTCCATTTTCCAGTTCGGCTACACCACCATCTTCGGATGGTATGCCACTTTCCTTTACCTGCGCACCGGTTCGCTCCCGGCGGTCATTCTCGCGCATACCTTCTGCAACTGGTGCGGACTGCCCCGGTTGTGGGGGCGGGTCGAGGCAGGCGTACCCATCGGGCCCCCATTGGCCAAGGGAAAGGGTGGCAGCTCGGATGAGACGGGATATGGGCAGTTGGGCATGGGCTGGACGGTTGCCTACTATATCCTGCTCGTCGGGGGTGCGCTAGGGTTCTACTATGCACTGTGGCCTTTGTCGGAGTCCTTAAATGCTCTGGCCTCTTTCTCAAGTCCGCATAAGAGGACATAATCAATGGTAGGGAAGGTTGTGAAGCATCAGCACTGATGGATGCGTCTGGATTTGATGGACGAGGACGAGCCGTGTTTTATACATATATAATATATTTTAATGCGACCTGAAGTAGGTAGGACATATCGTGAGGTTTAGTTTTATGATTAGGGAGATCAACACCTCTTGTTCAATAGCTCCTAATACAATGTGTTCATCTTCACAGGTTGACTTGATTCTAGATAGTTGTGTTGAAAGTACCCCTCCCTGCTTGCTGCCCAGCACACTCTGCAGAAGCAAACATTTGGATTCGAACGCGGGGTATCAGCCCAGGCCCAGCGCAGACTTCTACATGTACTGTTCAGATGTCGCGCCGGGAAGTTGAACACGTATGTGCACGTGCACGTGCACTAGTTCACGTAAGCAACCCTTAGTTCGTATGACATTTTGATTACATAGAGACACGTCAAATATCCTTGGTCAGTATCGAAGCATATCGATCCCATCTGGAGTACAGTATCTTCTCAAGTATAGACTAGCTTCTGAAGTACGCAGTAGCTTCTCGAGTGGGCCTTGAACCCACTATAATCCCCTGATGCACCAGCGTTGACGTCAAGCATTCCAAGCGACAAGATATCCAGCAAACCCACTGAACCTCCAAGCTCTAGCATGAAGTGAATCTCCTACCCGCAACAGAAATCTGCGGTTAACTTAATCACCTGGGCCAACAGCCAGGGACAAGGGCTCGCACAGTGGCAAGAAACCCACGACCCACGATCACCAACTTGAATTGACTCCAGATCGCCAACTCAATCGACCTATGAGCTGAGCTGGGGCGACGTGAGCACACCCCGTAAAAAATAGCCCCTCTATAGCACCCTCCACCGAGATAGAAAACTGTACAACAACATCTACTCACATAACAAAACATACCAGCTACCTCCCTCGAACCTCAAAGCATCACACCCCCACAAGAACAACAGCCCCAACCACCCCCGCCAACCCCGCACTCCGCACCCGGAACCCAGCCGCCGCATCGTTCCCCCTCACCACCCCAGTAGTGGTAGCATTCGCGGCAGCAGCCGCAGAACCCGTGGCACCGGAACGCGAAGTCAGCGCGGTCGAGGCCGAGTCGCGTGCGGAGTCGCTGGCCGAAGGGCCGGTTATCTGAGCCGCTGCAGCGTCGGTAGCAGTAGCCGACGACGACGACGACGACGACGAAGAAGTATCAGTAGACGCCGACGTAGAAGCAGAAGCGTACACACTTCCACCCGCACTCGCAGTAGCCGTGATTGCACTGGTCTCGCTTGTAGCTTCAGCAGCACCAGAGGTAGTCGTGGTCGTGGTCGTGGTCTCAATTAGGCGGCCGTTTGGACCCCAGCCGGGGAGATAATGCGTCGGTACGGGCTCTGTGCCTGAGTAGAGTGGACACCCTGGGACGGTGGTTTTGGGAGGCGCGCGACCGCCGCCGCAGTCGATGAGCTCGCAGAGTTCGCCGGTGTCGGGGATGTAGAAGATCCGGGTGAAGATGCCGCCCACGTAGGTGGTGGAGGAGGTGCAGGGGGGTCCGATGTCTGTTTTGGCGGCGACGAGGGTGAGGCCTAGGAAGAAGGAGATGGTGGTGGTGAGGAGCTTCATGGCTGTTATTGTGGTTTCTTGTGGGTGGTGGTGGGAAATGAGGGACTGTGGTGAGGAATCGAACGAAGGAGGAAGGGATAGATAGGTGAGAAAGAACGACACTCGGGAGGTGGAAACAGGAGTTGAAAGGAAATAAGCGAAGTTATATACGAGTCATATACAAAGTTAGCGTTGGAAGATACGCTTGGCAGGGAGTGGGTTTGCTGCTCTGACTGGTGGGACTCCCTCCACTGCGTCCCTGATTCTAGCGCCACATCCCCATTTCTCTGTTCAGGGGTTCGAGACCCTCAATTTCGACAAAATCAAATCGTGCTGGCCGGACTAGATTGCAGAACAGTGGGGCTGAGAGATGCCTGTGCTGCTGGTGGAGGCTTACTTGCGAGTGAACTTGGTGAATGATGGATGCAGGAAAGAGGAAGGCGCCTGCGGAGCACCCGGTGGACTATCTTTGCAATCAATACCAATTCTCTTCTTGATTAATTAAGGTGATAACTAGCTCTCTACTTGATTTCTTCCCCGACAAACACTTCATAGTTCTGGTTAACCGTCTCCTCGAGCATCCATTACGGGCGTGTGTTCAGGTATGTTTCCGAGTATCGTCATGAACATCTTTGCCAGTATTTTTGCAGGCAGCCTTGCAACAGCCCCGTGGAATCAAGCCTTCTGGTAAAGCAATGCCACTCAATGACCGAGAATTTACATCACCCTCTCTCATCTCAGATCCTCAGTGAGAGGGAAAAGTTGTCAGTGGCAGCTGATCAAGAGAGTCCGAATCTGCATCACGATTCCGGTTTTGAATTGGCTCCCTTGTCGACTCTCTTGCCTAGCAGACTGTAGGATTTGTTCCCACCCAGTACAATCTCTCAAGGGCCTCCTGTGCAAGTTCGAAACTCTGCTCATCCACATGCAAGGCGATGGAACATAGTCCCGCATCACGTCTCATTCGCTTGACTCAGAGATCAGACTGCGTAATTCTTCTTTCGCCACAGCATTTCGAGTGCTCTTCAGCGATCAGCAATGTTCTCTGTTGTTGTCCCCGGGACTGTATTTCCGGGCTCATCCTGATTGGCGGATTCGATACTGCGATGCCATCACCTTCTGTAGGGCGCATTGAACTGAACTTAAGCAACAACCGTACCATGGGCAGGTTCAGAAAAGAGAGAAGATGCATCGCGATGCTGCTTCTTGTTGCTTTGTCGCTTTCCTCTTGAGACGAGAGACGTAGCTAAAGATATTCGACTGATGAGAGACTTCATGATCGAAGGCAGATCTTCAGGTGTCTCTCTCGAACTAGTCTCATTTTCCCAGAGCCCGTATAGCCCTAGTTAGGATGATTGATCGTATGTCCATTCAGAGCTGAATACCATACTCTTCTCATAGATTCCCGTGCTCTTACCTCACGGGTGTAGATGCTCCGTGGGTCGGGTGATTCGACTTACCACCGTTACCTTCCAGAGTGACGAGTTCAAACTATGTAGGAGAGTGTACACTCACAAATCTTTCTGCCCTGGCAAAGTTAGACATTGACTCAGTGGAAGTTTTCTCAGGGCTGCCTACCTCACACTGAAAGCATAGCTGATGCATAAAAGAACACCACCCTCGCCCACTCCTTCCTCCTTCCTCCAACTTCGTGCCACACTTCTTGCTCGTAGCTATCACTCAAACATCTCGCTGTCCACGAAAATTAGCTTCTCCTCCCAGCTGATATCCCCCCTCTCACCTTTATTAAACATCACTTCACACAAGCTTTGTCCATCCTCCATGGCCATGCTTCCTCCTTATCACGCGGCTGATCAGCAGCAGTATGGTGGACAAGGACCATATATCTATGCTAGTCAGCAGTATGCTGCGCCATACCATCCTGCTTTGCAGCAGCAGCAGCAGCAGTGGCTTGCGCCACCTCAAATGTTTGGCCCTGCAGTGTTGCTGTATGCTCAGCCGCCTATGTTTGGCGGCTATCAGCAACCCTCATTTCTGCCATCGCCACTACCTCAACAACAACAACAACAAACTGTGCTTACCGACGTGAACGCACAGTATCTTTGCCCAAGGGGAAGCGCCCTTTTGGTTGGCAAGTAAGTGCTGCTACCCCGATTATCACCACCACCACCACCACCATCATCATCATCAATACCTTCTCTTGCTGCAGCTGTCACTTCCATCTTTTTCACGGAACAAAGATCAGCCATACTAACCTCTCTCGAAATCCAGCCTGAGGAATGGGATTCCTCCAGCCAAGTTGTCCGCAGACCTCAAGGCGACTTTCAAGGGACGGTGGTCCGCCGATTGCTGGGTGAAGATCGTCAACTTCAAGAGGCGCCCCAATGGCAACCCAGGTGGCCAATATATCGCATTCGTCACCTTCCAGGTAAGTTTCTGGTCCTTTCTGGAGAGTCAAATCAGCCATCGGCCTATTTTGGGTTTGCATAGCAGGAGTCAGAGTCACATTACTAACCTTGGGTGGCTTGCATGCAGACCGTCCAGCAAGCGCAACAGATCTTGACGGCCGTGCAGGCGAATTACCAACCGATAGTCCTGCATGGTATGGTTCTGCGGCTTGAAGAGGCCAGGGGAGAAGGTGCGTAGCTTCATTCCTTTGCTTTTCAAACAAACAACATTCCATCCCTCTGGTCTCGTTCATTGGGTCTATCTTGCTTCGCTTCAATCATCTGACAAGCTCGACCCTTTCATCCGTTCATCGACGCTGATATCTGTTCTGGATTATATAGGCGTCCACCCAGAGCCCATAGTGGGCAAAGGCCTGGCCTCCCATTAGTCAGGCATCTCACCGCCTTCGGCCGTTCTTTGATACCTAGATAGTTCCTCAGATAGCTGAAATCCATGTGGCTGTCACCGATTCATTCACTGATAGTAGTTAACCATCGTTCCGTTCCTGCCTGGAGTGTCACCTGCGTCTTTAGTGCATACAGATTACCGTATTATGGTCTATAGCCATTCCAGTCCTCATGGACTTTCTCCTCAATACAATATCTTCCACTTCATGAAAGAACTGATCATTTATATCAATCCATTTGTCTTTTATGCTTCCTTACAATGGACCCCCAGTTAATAGACCCCCAGTCAACAGCCCTCCAGTCAACAGCCCTCCAGTCAACAGCCCTCCAGTCAACAACCCTCCAGTTAATAGACCTTCAGTTAATAAACCTCCAGTTAACAGCCCTCCAGTCAAGAGCCCTCCAGTCAATAGCCCTCCAGTCAATAGCCCTCCAGTCAACAGACCTCCAGCCTATGGGCACCCAGCCAACGCGCACCCAGCCAACGGACACCCAGCCAACGGACACCCAGCCAACGGAACAGTAAACGGGCATAAGGTACTAGTAGTCAATGAGAGCACAGCCAACAGGCACCCACCCAACGGACATACGGTACTGGTAGTCGATAGCAGCCGAGCCAACGAGGGCCCAGCCAAACAGCCAGCAACCGAGCAGCCAGCAACCGAACAGCCAGCGACTGAAGAGACCGCCAGCGAGCCAGCTGTCCCTGCTACCCCACCCCGTCTTCATCTGAGGAATCGGCTCACGAGAGTGCGGCCAACCCACCTGCATCTGAATAAACGCGATCCGCTCTGTGTCGCCTCTGTCTGCTTGCCTGCCTGCACGCCATGGTGTTCCAGTGGTGTTCCTCTTTCATTCACCTTTGTTTTGTTATAGCTTTATCACTTGTATCGTCCTGCTCAACCATGTCGATATTCATCGGCCACGTTTGGGTGTTCAGCATGTTTGGCATCATCTTAGGTTGGTTTTCTTTGGGACATGGCTCTTTTTTTGAATTTCCTGTGTTGCGTTGCTAATGCATTCTTGAGATTCTGGTCGTAAACTCTTGATCTCGCAATTTGGCTTCTCGTGTGGTGTTATTCCGGTTGTCCGGCTAGTGAATGAAGTGAGTGAGCTTGGTTGGAGCCTGTCGGCATATCTAAGTAATACGGCCACGTGGTGCAACGCGGTTATCAGGCTGCTTCCCATGTTGGTGATTCAGTCAGTTCCAACCACCAAGAAAATTGAGAACAGGTTCCATACCTCTTCTCTTCTGAGGCTTCAAAATCGCTGACAGAGCCTTTCCTCTCTGTGTCTACTGTAGATGTAAATGTAGTCTGATCACTCGTAGAGGATAATGAGAAGTAAAAAGAATAGTGAGCGATGAGATGATGGCATTTTTTTTTCTTCTCTCGCCAACAGTAGAGAAAATTTTGTGGGAAAGAAAATTTAGGAAGGGCGAAGTGAGGTCAAAATTGTTCTGGATTTGGTCACACAACAGCCAGCGTGAGTCAGCGTGGCCATGTGGTTCCTATATATTTATATATATATGGTGGGTATCGATGAGGAATGTGATACAATCATTACTGCCGAGTATTACAGGCGGTTTTTTGAGGTGATGTATGTACAAATACGCACATATGGCACTGTACACACAAGTAGGGTCTGAAGTTGTGTATGGTTTACTTCCGTTGCAGCGCAGCCCACATCTCCGTTCCCGAGCATGTCTCCAGGACAAGCCGCAGTCATTGGACGGCGCCACCCATTCTCATCCTCCTCGCCTTGACGACCAATTGCTCCAAGACCATCTGCCTTACTGAGACTGTCAACCGACACCCAGTTTGCAGCAGCTGCCTGACACTCCCCGTCCTCTCGTCTCGAGCGCCGAGGTTCCTGAAATTGATGCGCGTCAGATCGACACACATCCGCCACACGCTCTGCAAGACCTCTTCCCACGACTCCCCCGTCGCCCTCGTAGTCAACGTCACATCCCTCAGCTCCAGCGTCTCCAGGCCCCGCACGGCCATCTTCCGGATACACGTTCGCAGAATCTCGGCCGTGGACTCGATCTTCCGGACGGAGAACACCCGGATCCGCGCGGAGGCCAGCCGCGCCGTCGATAGAGCCTCGAGGGTGTTCCCTGTGGGATGCTCGCGGCCTCTGCCAACGATGCGCAGTTCCTCTAGCGCCGGGGTGCCCTCCAGCAGCTCCCAGACGATCGACGTACCGCGGTATTCCCGGAAGTAGTCGTCGTGCAGGTAAAGCACGCGCAGGCCGCGCAGCACCTCGGGGTACAGCGTGGGGACGGTCCAGTTGGGGAGCTGGAGGACCTGGTACGGGGTCGTGGTGGGCTGCTCCAGGATTGGAGCGGAGCGCAACGAGGCGTGTATCTTGAGTCGCTCGAGGGGGATCCCCGCATCGTTGAAGATAGTGAACATAACGCGCACCACGTCGCCGGCGTGGATGCAGTCCACGGGCCAGTCGGCGGGCTCGTCCAGGTGGAACTCGAAGTCCCGGCACTCGGTGAACGCGGTGACGAGATCACAGCGCAGCGCCCACAGTTCCGGCAAGGCAAGGGGGTCCTCGATCTCGCTCGACAGCGCCAGTCTGTTGAAGGGGGAGTTGGGCCCCGTGTACGGATACCGAATCACCAGTCTCTTGATCAGTGCCGCCAGCGGGTTGCCCCTCGGCCGGGCCAGATCGCAGTGGATGCGCAGGAGGCTGTGGTACGAGAGGTTCGTCTCGACGGTCTCGAGATGCCGCGCGAAGATCGCCTCCGTCATGGGCTCCACCAAATAGTGCATTCTCCGAGAGACCTGACGGAGAGAGAGGAAGGCCGCCTCGTCCAGGTACCTCGTGATGTGCGGGAAATGCTTGGTAGGCATCGACCCGAGATTGACAGGAGACATGGCTGGCTTTTTGGAACTTGATGGGCGGGAAAGAGGCGAGGAGATAGATATAGAAGAGCTTCAGGAGGGCATAAACAGGGTTGACATTCGACGCTGGGAATTGGAGATAGGCCAAGGTGCAATCACTTTAAGTACTCTGTATTTCCTCAAGAGGGTCCCTCTTGTTGTAGTTCTCTCAGCAAGATTATCTCAAATAGCTGGAGCATTCCTGCTAATAGGTGATATTCTTTGTTTGTGCTGGCTGTCTCTTCGCCTGGTGCCAAAGTAACCTCTCCAACTGGCTCAGATAGCTTTGAACAAAGAGCATTGTCTTCCTCTGCGGCAGCTCTAAGGGCAGATTAACTACCCGTGCTGTGAACAATCACTTGTGCCCCAAGGCTTTATTGTTGAACACGTCACGAGACAATGCATGCCACTTTCAAGCTTTCTTTTGGAACAACGAACTGCATATCACACAGGTCAGTCAGATATCACCACCAGTCAATTAGACTATACCTGACTTCCACATTATGGATAAAGTAGACTTCGATCCTAATCCCATGTGACCCAAGGACAATAGCGGTTGAACTTACTTAAATGCCAATGACTTATCTTCTCGCCCTCGTACTGAACAGCTGTACATTATGATACGCGGCCGCAGGATCGTGCATTCGAAGCTCACATCGTGCTTATGATGCCTCTACTACTCAATATTATCGCAGATTGTCTTAATAAGTCGTGAAAATAGAATCCATATTCATCTCATCGGGTCTATAGGGTTGCCTCTACCTCATCCAGGACGGTGACCTTGATACTGCCGTTGCGCGGATCAGCACATAACTCAAGTGCCTCCACCGCTCTCTCCAATGGGAATGTATGCGACACAAGCTTTTTCAGGTCAAGGATTCCTCCACTGAGACAAGCAATAGCAGGAGGCCAGGTATCGCGATAACGATTGATGAATCGCAGATCGATCTATCCAGCCGTCATTTGTTAGCCACGGTACGAAGAAGGAAGAACTGGGCTCAGATACTGACCTCGGCTAAGGAAATATGCATAAACGGAAGATTGTTCATGACCGATTTCCCCACCCCAATGACGACCACAGCGCCGCCTCTACGGGCTGTAAACGCCGCCGTACAGACGCTGCTCTCTACTCCGGTGCATTCAAGGACTGTCTCAGGAGCGCTATACTCCCTCGACCCGAACAATGCTCTGATTGCCTTGGCATTATCCTCCGCACCCAATGAGCCATTCACCTGGTATGTAATGCAGCTGGGGACAAACTCTTTGGCGAATGCGAGTCGCTTTGGCTCGATATCCGTGATGACAATAGGATGGGCCCCAGAAGCACGAGCTGCAGCGAGCGCAATCAGCCCAATGGGGCCTGCGCCACAGACAACTACTCCACGACCTAGTTGGAGACGGGCCACTTGGATCCCCCGCATGACGACGGAAAGTGGCTCTAGCAGAGCACCTTCAGCGTACGAAATGTTGTCCGGAAGTCTATATTCTGTCTTAGATACCAGCTCTCAAGAGAGTCAAGGAAAACGTACTTGTGGAGCCATTTGGCAGGATGCACTTTATAACGCTGGAGAGTCCCAGCATAGGGGTAGACACCTGCAAAGTGAACATCTTCGCAAAGGTTGTAACGGCCGTCGTCGCAGAGGAAGCAATTTTCGCACGGAACGCCTGGTTCTACTGCTACTCGATCACCTAAGCAGACAATTGAATCAGTACCCCGGCTCGCTATTCATTCTGTGCGACTTGCATAGGCTTCGAGATTACTCACCGGGCATGAAGTCTGTGACACCCTCTCCACACTTCAAAACGACTCCTGCCGCTTCATGGCCGATCACACAGTCACCTTCAAATACCAATTCTCCGATTCGACCTGTTTTCCAGAAATGTATGTCTGATCTGGATATGATCCGTCAGAGAGCACAGAAATTTCCATCAACAGCTCCATATGCGTACCCACAGATGCCGGTGGCTTTTATATGCAGGAGAACTTCGCCTCGTTGTGGGGCATAAACAGGCGCTGGGACGTATTTCAACTTGTGATCCGCAGTAACCTGAAGAGACGGATTCGGGAATGGTGGAGAGAGCAGCGCTGGACCCGCCGTCGCCAATTTAGTGCCTGGAGCAACCGAGGGCGTGGGCTGGGGAATCTGGAAAGACGGAGACATGGTGATAAGAATGATGAGGCTGTCGAGCTCATTTCAATGCGCCCTCTGAAGGGCCCCGGGGGGTTTTATTAGACTCATCGTTGGAGAAGAAAGAGGCGGTGGCCTATTTCAAAGCAGAAGATCAGAAAGTACAGAGTACAGCAAGGCAATCCGAGCCACAGATAACCGTGGATGTTGTGGTGGTTTGGATCAGGGAAGATCAACCCCGCAGTGCCCGCAGTACCCGCAGTGCCCGCGTCTTTAAGCGGGGGGAGGCTCGACTTTCCCCGCTGAGTTATCGGCGCTACCACCTACCCGATCGGGTAATGTGCATATAACTGCCATAAAGGATAAGTCAATTATCATAGTGCATGGATCCATCCATCCATCCATCCTTCACTCATGATCTGTACTGTACAACAAGTTTGGTCATCTCCCAGTCGAGAAAGCAAAACCGCGTTTCATGCTGTCTCTCCCCACGCTCCCCCAGACCGTTATTAGTTATTCAAGTATTATAAAGAGCCCCCTGCCTCCCTTTGCAATGGATTTTCAACAAGAACAAACTTGTCACTATGGCTGTCGGTCTCGACCACTCGCTCGTCAATGGCGCATCGGCTTTTCCGCTGGTGCGCCAGCTATCCAAGGACCATGACCAAGTCTTGAAGACCTTTCGCCTACTCATTGCTGATTTGTGTCAGCAGTTTGGTGGAGGCCATCCTGGGTAAGATATTTGACCGTCTGAGAGAAGGTTGAGCAAAGCAGCTGACAAGAGAAGAGGTGCGATTGGCATGGCTGCCATTGGAGTCGCGCTTTGGCGATATGTCATGCGATATGCCCCCCATACTCCCGATTACTTCAACCGCGATCGTTTCGTTCTCTCCAACGGCCACACCTGCCTGTTTCAGTACACATTCTTGCACTTGACTGGATACAAGGATATGACTTTTGACCAGCTAAAGTCGTACCATTCCGACCGCGTTGATGCACTGTGCCCAGGTCACCCCGAAATTGAGCACGAAGGTATCGAGGTTACAACAGGGCCTCTGGGCCAGGGTATCGCCAATGCTGTTGGTCTCGCCATGGCTACCAAGAATCTTGCTGCCAAATTCAACCGACCTGGCTACGATGTCGTCTCGAATCATACCTGGTGCATGATTGGCGATGCGTGCCTCCAGGAGGGTGTCGGACTCGAGGCCATTTCCTTCGCTGGACACCTCAAACTCAACAACCTGACTGTCGTCTATGACAACAACCAGATCACCTGCGATGGATCCGTCGACTTGACCAACACGGAGGATGTGAATGCTAAAATGCGTGCTTGTGGTTGGAATGTGATCGATATCGAGGACGGCTGCTATGATATCGAGGGCCTCGTTCAAGCACTGGAACGTGCTCGTGCATCTCAAGAGAAGCCAACGTTCATCAACGTGCGAACAGTGATTGGTCTGGGCAGCAAGGTCGCAGGCATGGCGGCCGCCCATGGTGCGGCCTTTGGATCTCCTGACGTTGCCGATATGAAGAGGGCCTATGGATTCAACCCCGACGAGACATTTGTCATTGGTGACGAAGTCCGTACTTTCTTCCACGAACTTCCTTCTCGGGGAGAAGCATTCGTTCGAGACTGGAACTCTCTGGTCAAGCAATATAGCGCAAAGTATCCCGAGCTGGGGGCAGAGTTCCACCGCCGTATGCGCGGAGACCTTCCTTCCAATTGGAAGGACCTTATTCCTTCTGAATTTCCAGAGAAGCCCACAGCCTCGAGAGCGTCTTCTGGTTTGGTCTTCAATCCAATTGCTAAAGAGATTGAGAACTTCATGGTCGGAACTGCTGATCTCTCCCCATCGGTGAACATGATCTGGCCAGGGAAAGTAGATTTCCAACACGTGAGTAGAATCCGTTCAAGCATATCGACCCACACTGACCATTCTTAGCCCGATTTGGAAACCACATGCGGCATCAATGGAAACTACTCCGGTCGGTATATCCACTATGGTGTTCGTGAGCATGCGATGTGTGCCATTTCCAATGGCATGGCCGCCTTTGCTCCCAACACTTTTGTCCCCATCACCTCATCATTCTTCATGTTCTACCTCTATGCTGCACCTGCTGTTCGAATGGGTGCCCTTCAGCATCTTCAGGTCATCCATGCGGCAACTCATGACTCGATCGGAATGGGTGAAGACGGCCCTACACATCAGCCCATAGAACTCGCAGCTTTGTACCGCGCTATGCCCAATCTTCTGTACATTCGCCCCGGTGACAGCGAAGAGACAGCTGGCGCATGGATTGCAGCAATTGAGGCGAAGAAGACCTCCACAATCATTTCCACTTCGCGCCATGCCATCCCGCAACTGAAGCAGACTCGTCGTGATGGTGTTGCACGCGGTGCATACGTCCTTGAAGAAGCCGAAGATGCGGCCGTGACGCTGATCGGAGTGGGAGCTGAGCTATCCTTTGCACTGGAGGTTGCTAAGTACTTGAAGGAGACTCAGGGGACTGTGGCGCGGGTCATCAGTTTTCCGTGTCAGCGACTGTTCGAGCAACAGTCTATCGAATATAAGAGGGAGGTTCTGCGTAGGCATCAAGATATCCCTGCTGTCGTGATAGAACCTTACGCTCCCAATGGATGGGAGCGGTACGCCGATGCGGGAATCTCTGTTCGTCAGTTCGGCCACAGTTTGCCGGGCAAGGCTGCCTACAAGTTCTTCGGCTATGAAACCGGGGTGTTGTCCGCAAAAGTGAGCGACTATCTTGATCGTCTGAAGAAGGGAGAAGCACTTAGAGGTGAGTTTGTTGATCTGTAAATAATGATACGATGAAGATAATCATGTGACAATGCCATTCCGCTTAATTCGTGGGATAATAATCATCACTCTCCCAACTGAGAGAAATGGGAGACCTATGATATTGCGAATGTTTAATGAAAGATTGTTCACCATACCTGTCACAGCCCGCCCTCGACTTCATACATTCTAAACTAGCTGCATGGGCGAGGGAGACGATAATTCAGCGATCTCTCTGATAATTCTGAGCATGATACCGTGTGACCACCGCAGCCTCGTGTATGCAGTCAATTTCGAAATATAGTTCGAGGTAGGTTGTCTCAGAGCCAGGGGGACGCGTGCTCAGGCATACAACAGGGACACTCAAGAAGTTGGTTCTCCTAGACGACCACCCATCTAGAATTCCCTGCCACGTTTGAATTGTTCATTTATCTCGGAAAAACAGCAATATGGCTTGGTCGCACCATGAATAGGAGAAGGTGTGTCCTGTGAACTCGAAAATGGTGGGCGAGACATGTGGTGAGACACTGAACACGGTGCGAGGCTGCGATTGCTCATTATGTCTGTCCGTTCTCTAAAGAGGGCCGGGTTCCAGTATCAAAAGCCATCAATACTGGAAGCTGAACAGATTGCTGCGCTGGAGAAAGGGGGAAGCTGAGTCCAATAGCCCGAGAGCTGGGCGCGGCGGTCGTCTCCCTGAGAAAATCTATCTGCAGGGTGTTGATTGGTAGTGCAAGTTGCTAAGATGGTGTGGATGTCTGAGACAAAGTAGACGGTAAACGGCCTAGACCAGTGCTAGTGATGTGAAGATGAAGCTGGAAGTATCGGGATTGGAGATGCAGACGGCAGCCTGACCCTGGTGGTGAGAGGGTCTTTCCCATTTAAGTACTATACCTTCCTGCAGACTTCACCACCCAGCTCAACTCCATCGATCTACTTGTCAAATCACACAAAGAACCTCACACCACTTGTCCGCAGCATGGCGCCGATGTATATTCTCTATCTCCTGATCTTCGGATGGGCAGTGAGTACAGCTTCCATTCAGCTGCAAAATCTCGAACATACCTCAGGAGAAGGAATCACATATGACCTGGGCGATGTCACCTACTTTGCAAACTCGCTGCATCCACAAGTGATAGGGCAGATTGGAAGTGCCCAAGGAAGTGAAGCAGCTGAGGCCAAGGCATACACGCCAATCACTGTGATCATCACCAACCAGAGTGTCGTCACGGGGGGTTTCTTGGAGGAGACAATTGACGCCTATCTGGCTGGAGATGATGTCTTCTTCGAGCAGTTCCTGACCTCGATCTATATCACTTCTACCTCTTCCATTCAATCCGTCACCATCGACAAGACGGCGCTGAAATACTTCGATCAGATTGGAGTCGACCAGCTCTATCTCGACGCTACAGTCTTCCGAAAAGGCCCCAGTCATGCTGTCTCCGTACGTATGAGCAGTCAAAAAGCTCTACAGCCCGGACCGTATACGGCCCTATTGCTTGGAACGACAGTTCACTTTCTAGACACCTACAGGCTATACATCGACCAGTATCGCGACTTCATCACAGGGAGCTACCCTATCAATGATGGCCTGGACACTTACGCACCGCTGCAGTCCATGCACTCTCGGACCTGGGCTCCGATGATACCTGTTCCCAGTCGCATCCATTTCTGGGACGATCCTCGTCCACTGGCTGGGAAACGGGTGGCCATTAAAGACCTCATTGACGTTAAAGGCCTCCAGACCTCAGCCGGCAGTCAGGCGTGGATTCACACACATCCAATCGCCGATTCGACAGCGCCAGCTATCCAACGACTGATCGATCTGGGTGCAGTCCTCGTGGGCAAGTACAAAATGGCCCAGTTTGCTGCCAGCGCAAGCCCATGGGACTGGGTTGATGCACAACATCCCTTCAACCCCCGAGGCGACGGTTACCTCACCTGCGCCGGCTCGTCCTCCGGAGGCGGTTGCTCCATTGCAGCATACGCCTGGCTAGACCATGCCATCGGCACTGACACCGGCTCATCGATGCGCCGACCAGCAGCCGTCTCGGGTACCTACGGCAATCGGCCCAGCCAGGGTATGATGTCTCTAGAGGGAGCCGTGCCACTCAGCTGGGCCGGCGACACTGTTGGTGTCTTTGGGCGCGATCCACTCGCATGGTCTCAGTTCGCGAAATCATGGTATGGCAGCGAGCCAGAGCTGCATCAAAATACCTCCATCACCGGCCTTCCTCCACTTTCCCTGCCGAAGACTCATGCATTCCCATCACGCATCCTCTACCCAGATGAATACTTCCCCATGCCCAACCCCGCGGCACAAGACCTGCTCACCTCCACCCTCTCCCGACTAACCACCCTCTTCAACATGACAATCACCCACTTCAATCTCAGCTCCACCATCACCGACGCCGCCATCTTCCCCGACACGACCGACAACTGGGACCGCCTCGCCAACAACACCATTGTCCTCACCACGTGGCCGCAGTACCACGACGTGGCCCAGACCTTGATCTCATCCTGGGCCGACCAGCACGACGGACGCTTCCCCCCCGTGGACCCCGGTCTCCGTGCCCTCTGGACAAACCTCGACTTCAACGTCACGAATGCGGAGAACTATGAGGCCGCCGTGCAGAGCCGAGCCAAGAGTATCAAGTGGTTTGAGCGCGAGATTCTCCGCTTTGATGCGGACGCCTGCTCCGAGGCGTTGCTCGTTTGCGATGCCGGGACCGGAGGGCTGCCCAGCTTCCGCGAGTCGAGGCTGAACGAGGGCCCCAACGCGACGTTCCTGTCCTCGTACCCGGATGGGGCGGTGATTCCATGCGTGACCATTTGTGCGTTGTTCGGGTGAGTTTTTCTTTCTCTTAGGGCTGGTCCTCCGACCACGAAGGGTGTGTTAACAGTATGATTGTCATCCAGCTGTGCGGACTTCACGATCCCGTTGGGACAAGTCCCGTACTCCTCGCCCGTGACGATGGTGACGGAGCAGTGGCCCGTAGTTTTCAATCTGATCGCGCGACGGGGCTGTGATTTCATGTTATTTGATCTGGTGGAAAGGATGGCAGAGGAAGGGATTATCGCGGAAGTGAAGACGGGGAGGACTGCGTTTTAGACCCGGGTATGGTGATAGCCAAAGGCGGGTTCACTCGAGCCTGGAGCGAGGTGTGCCTTCCACTTAATGTAACTATACGAGATGACACTCTCGAACAAACACAACCATCAATATCCACATCCACTGCACACCACCTGGAATTGTCAATGAAGTATCATTCTATGGACAAACAGACATTAAGATGACATATCACAGTTCATCATTATCAGACAGGAGAACCCATTCATATCCCTTGTATAAAACATCCCGATAGTCTGAGAAAAGAGGGGGGGAAAAAGGTAAGGGAAAGTAATATGCACACATACCCATGAACAAGAATGGACAGAAAAGGTGAAAAGAAAGAAAGGACTCCTATATACTCCCATAACCCGACGAGGGGGGCGGGGAACCGCAGCTCCACAATTTATCATATGAACAAGCAAAGCAGGAACAATTCGAAAGAAGAAGGGAGAGAGACGAGGGGGGAAGAGGAAGAATTGCAGCAGGGAAAAAAAAAACACACCAAGGTGTTAGCTACCCCATCAACCCGCCCAAGACGACGCGACTCACGCCCGCGATCTCCGTCTTGGCCTGCGTGCGACTGGAATCCTCGAACTCGCGCACAATCCCGGCGACCATGATCTTGCGGATCTTCGCATCGGCCTTGGAGAACATCTCGCCCATGGCCACCGTGCAGATACTGGGAGTGTAGACCAACGAGACCAAGCGGGTATAGCAATCGATCAGGACGTCGCACAGCGTGACGAAGGTCTCGAAGTAATCCGGCTCGAACGGGAGCAGGGGGGTCAGGAGGTAGGTGTATTCCTCGCCGGGGAGGAGTTCGGAGGCCTCGGTGTGCGGGAAGCCCATGGAGGCGGAGGAGGCGGAGGAGGCAGCAGCTGCTGCAGCGGCGTGGTGGTGGTGGGCCGAAGCGGAAGCGCCGGACGAGGGGGCGCCGCCGGCCATGGCTTTCAGGTCGGAGGGGTCGGAGGACTGCATGGGGAGGCCGATCTCGGTGGCGGAGCTGGCGCGGCGGGCCTTGGAGGAGTAGGCGCCGGAGGCGTGGGCGGCGCGCTTGAACATCTGGGGGATGCGGGCGCGGGCGAGGGCGGAGGCGGTGGAGGAGGGCGGGCCGTCGGGCGGGTGCACCTGCTGGAAGGCTTCGAACTCGAGGAGGAGGGCGTTGAGGGCGCGCAGGAACTCGACGGGCGTCGTGCTGACGTCCAGGATCGGGGGCAGCGAGAGCCCCAGCAGCAGGAAGTTGATCGCCCGCCGCGACAGCTTGCGGGACTCGAAGTAGGCCAGCCGGCTGATGTCCGCCCGCGAGAAGTGCACCGTGTTGAACCAGTAGATCCGCCCCTCGTGCGCCTTCCGCAGGTACCCCAGCGTCGAGATGCGCTTCGCCGCCATGTCGTGAATGTGCTGGTAGACCGCCGCCGCGCTCTGCGGGCCGTACGACCCGTTCGTGCTCGTCAGGGGCGGCGGGAGCGTCCCCGTCGTGCTGCCATTGTGGCCGAGCCCAATTCCGCTGCTGCTGTCATGGATGCTGGATTTGGTGTCGCGGCGGGTGAGACTCGGAGCGAATGATGAGGACATCATTGTGGCTCTTCCCGGGGGGGGGGGAGAGGTGGGTGGAATTGGGGGGGCTTAAAGGGTGAGTTGAGCAAGAGTGGCAGGCTGTGGTGTGGCAGTGGCAGGCGGGGCGGCCTGCCCGCGTATCGTTGGAATTGGAATCGAGTATGCGATTGTAGTGTGATATTCTCTGGATTGGAGATGCAGTCAATGGAGCGTAAATGTTGTCCAGGGGGGCGAAAGAGAGAAACCGCCCGTGGAGTGAACGGAGGACCGGGCCAACAACTGCCGGTAACTTAGTTTAAGTTGGTCTACTCCGTACTTTTACTGGAGTGATTCTGAGTAGTTCTCCGCGCTCCACCGTTCACGTCAAACACTGCAAACACCACAAACCACCTCCGCTCGAGTCACATGATGGCTTGGGGAAATCGTCTGGGATTTTCTTGTTTACGCCGAGTACTCATTACCAGTCATATAATAATTCATGAATTATTCGGGCTCATTTACTCCTCATATACTCTGGTACTTCTATATACGTTCTACTATCACAGCATGCACAAACACCGCAAACACCGAGCCTGGGAGAGCGGGAGCGATTGATAATCATAAACACAGATCTGTACTCCATCAACACCATCTCTAAAAATCGACCATGCAGGCTTACACCAAATCTAAGACTTTGGAGCTGGCGGTGACATCCATCGTCCATCTTTCAGCCAGACTCCAGCCCCTCCGTACTTGCCAGCTTCCGCTCCCTTGAGGAAAGCAAAGCGGAAGAAGAGATCCTCTGGTTGCGAGTCTTCGTCCTCACGGAGAACCTCCATATCCATCGAATCACTCTCAATCGTTGGCCGGTGGAATAATTCGAGTCCGTTATGTCCATGTCTATGCCAGATGAATTCTCCGCGCTTGTCTTCATCAAGGTATCCGCGCCAGCGCTCGACGTCGTTTACCAAAACTGAAATCCCATCCACGCCCAATTTGTTCATACGTTGTCGTTCCCAGAGAGTGAAGGTGATGTTGCCGTTGCCGTGGTGGGTTTCGTGGGAGTCCAAGCCCGGCAGCGAAATGGTCACGGAGGAATCGGTGACGTTGGGGTAGGTGCCGCCCCACCACCCGTGCGCTCCACCGGGACCCGGGGCTTGCTCGCCCAAAGCCGCGGGTGTTTCAATGATCGACGCAAACCCCCACCGGGCAACGCCGTTGATGAAAAGACCTAGGAGTAAGCCCTGATAAATCAGAGATGGTCGAGTAGGAAGGGCTGTTCCAGGCATAAGGAGGATGGCGAGAATGTAGTGGTGAATGCGCAATCGGAGACCCGGCAAAGGAAGCAAGATCAGGAGGATAAGACCCATCGTGCAATAGATCTTAAGATAGCGAGGCATCAAACCACCCATGCGAATCTGCCAGGCTTGAGTGAGAATGATACAGATGACCGTGGGAATGACAAGCGCCAGTGCTACTTTGGCCCCGGGCTGTTTCTGGATATCGTGGGGTGTTAGTCGTTCCAAGGGAATCAGCCTCGCAAAGGTATAGTTGTTCAGACCGCCAATGAACGCAGGTGGCAAGTAGAGCAGCGTCTTGGTGATCTGATAGACAGGCTTCGACAGCGGATCCAACAGCGGCCGAGCGCAGTACTTATATAGGACGTAAGCCACGAAAGAGGCCGGCAGCAGTCGTGACAGCAGACTCGAGAGCAGGTCGGCAAATTGGGTGAAAGAAGGCGGATCTGAGACCAGGCCCACCTGACAGAACAGCATGAAGAAGGTGCTAAAGAAAAGCACCGGCGGGGAGGTGCTAAAGATCCAAAGTACGCTCAGCACCCCAATGGTGATGCCAAGCAGCGGCCACCGAGGGTCTTGAGGGCATGTCGCCTGCGACGAAGACAGCTCCACGAAGCTGAAAGACTTGGGGAAGGTAGATGGAAATCCGACCGAGCGGATTCCATTCTGCTTCGACGGTGGGAACGAGTGCGCAGCACCTTCCAACTTCACCACACCACAGCCACCCACCGTGTTAGTGATAACACCAGCATGGATGGCCGCCTGACAGACATAGCTATCAGCCCGGTAGACACCGGGCTCATCCGAGCCGGGCTCCGGTCCTCCCACGACTAGGCCCCGATAACTATACGTCTCGTTGCCAACCATATGAGGCTCCAACAACTTGGCGTCGTGACAGTTGGCAGGACAGCGGAAGGCAATCGTTGACTCGGAGAACGGGCGACAATCGTTTCCGTTCAGACCACATTCATTCCCGTGCGCCCTGGATCTAGGTTAGCTCAATCTACAACACCACTTTAGCGCATCTCAGCTTACCAGAAGCTTGTCCGACAGGACAGTGTCTGCGGTCGCCCATATCCCTCAATATACCCGGCCTGCCGGGAGTGCCATAGCACCAAACTCCACGGCAAGAACCAGGCGACATACAGCAGCAGCAACAGCGCGATCTTCTGTTTGCGCTTGGGGAAGAAGCGCTCCAAGCAACGGACCGGAAGTTCCTGGATCTGTGGGAACAAGGGCCTCAGGAGCAGTGATCGCGGAGGACTGGGACCCCGGACCCATTCAGCGGTGGCTCGACCGACCTTCCGCAGCGGCAATGGTACCCAACCCCAGCGAAAAGATTTGGATGATTCCCGTAGCCAGACGGGCAGATATCGGAGGGCCGCTTCCTCATCCTGAGGCGGATCGGAAGCGTCGGGATCGACCGAACGGGCCTCTTCATCTTCGAGCGACGGCGGAAGATACGGCCGAGAAGTGTCCTCAGGACCTTCGCCGAGCATTGTCTTTGTGATGGGATGCTAGTGTGTGCAAGCGGAGGGGCGATAGAGTGATAGATAGAAAGCAGGGTTCTGAGGGAAAGCGACGTATCTAAGTGGGGGGGGGGCGAACGGCGGAGGGAAGAAGCTAAGGGCCTAAGGCTCGGTGCAATCTAGATCGGATCCCAGCCGCAATGAGACCCTTTCTCAGTCAAGAGAAGGGAGACTAATGCGGGTATGCAGAAATGCAGAATATATGACGCCGTGTTAGGGGGAGGAAAGAACCACAATAGAAACACAATAGGTAATAGAAGAATTGTCCAGAGAGAAGTAGGAAGACAAGAGAGAGAGGGAGGGGTGTGCATGAAAGAGAGAGAGAGAGAGAGAGAGAGAGGCAAGAGAGGCCTGGCGCCCGCTGGCAGCCGGACAGGCAGACAGTCTAAGCCTTCCAGCCTTTAAGGTTCAGGTTCCATTCCACAGCGAGAGTCACTCGCCCCAGTCTTCTGACCACTCACCTTCGATTATGTCAGCCCCACTCTCCGCAGCGTTCCTGCGGAGTGTCATTATGTCACCAGCCGGCCCTTGTAACTAGTTAAGTTATTGACTTGACTTCCCCCTCACTTCTCACACTCTCTTCAGGGGACTGCTTTTCCGCGGTAGCGAACTAACCGATGGGCAGAAGGGCGGACACCCGCAGATTGTCTCAAAAATACCTGCTGAATCTTGATTATCTTCTATATATACAGTCATATCCTTGACAAGTGAAGGCATCCAGACACAAATCATACAAGACCTATAGACACACTGCGCCTCTCAACAACACAACATGTACCCGACCACTTGAAACCACCGGAAATATGAACCAAAAATAATAATAATATAAAGAGAAAAAAAAGGGAAAAGGTCCCCTAGGAAAGGACACGGCAATATGTGAAAATGATATATAATGACCACTGTGTGGTATATAGATGCGATATCAAGCCGTCATTGCGGTAGCCTAGCCTCCGAGGAGCATCCAAGCGATCATGCCACCCCACGCACCAACAAAAACAATCGTCAAGATAGATGCACCGGCCTTGTCACCGGCGGTGATCTTCCGTGTCGCAGTCTTATCACCGGTGGTATCTCCTTTACCGGCATTCGGGTCACTGGTACTGTTACCGCCAGTAGTGGAGGTCACTGGACCGGACTTCTTCGTCGTAATGAGGACAGATGAAAGAACATTGGTGACGGCGATTTCTTCCTCCATGCCGTTCCATCCATCCCACGACTTCGGGTACCACCGTACACCACACGTGTTGTTGCTCATTCCGCTGCAAGACGCGGCAGCGGCCTCGGCGGAGCCCTGCAGCTTCGGCAAGATCTGGTCATATGTCGAGGGAACCACCAACGCCACAAACCCGAGCCATCCGCTAAGCAGGCCCTTGAAGAGGATTTCGTTGTCGTTGCAAACCTCCAGGGGTTCACAGAGTTCCTCAGACATGATGTTGCCGCCGTATTTGGACGGGAAGAATGTGGTCAGAGTGACGTTCAAAAGACCATCTACGGCGGTCTTCCATTTGGCCTTGCCCGTCTGCGATTTTGTCTCGGGTCAGCGTCCACACAACCAAAGTCAGTCGGGTTTCGTCCTTACGTAGTTGTACATGTATGCGGCACCCATCAGATATGTTCCATAGTTGTAAGACCATTGGTTGTCACCCTGCGTTGTGCAGCCGTTATCGATGTCGGTAGAGTCTGCAACGTTCCACGTTTCGTTATTCAACAGAGGAACAGATGCCGACCAATCGAAGATCTTCTCGGCCCAGTCGGCGTACGTATCGTTGTTCGTGTAACGGGCGAGACGGGCAGCCAGCTGAAACAAGCCTCCGTTCGAGATTGAGTTCTTCATATCGTAACCAGCCTCGTACGGCCAGATCTGCCAGCGCAGCCCGCCTCCACAGTTCGACGAGTCCCAGCGTGCGACTTGGGTGTTGTACACGCCCTGAGCAAGAGCGAGCCAGGAATATCCGTCGGTCGAATCGGCGAAGTCGATCTCGGCCGCGGTCATCGCCGCAAGGCCCCAGAACATTTGATCGTCGTTACCCTACCCAGATGCCTTATGTGAGATTCCGTCCGAAAGTCTGATCCCACGCGAGCCGGATTACATACCAGATAACTACTGTAGTTGCTCGGCATGTAGTCGCAATCACCTGCTTGCCATTGCATACCTTGGCGAACTTCATCGTTGTAGGTGCTGTCTCCGGTATAATAATAGTAGAGAAGCAAACTCATGAACAGCGCACTGCCTTCCCACCACTTGGAAGGGAATGCACCAGGAATTTGGCCGGTCTCATTGCCGTGGTACCAGGTCATTGACCCGTATGCTGTTTTGCTTGCCGCAGCCTTTATAGATGCTGTTGCGATAGACGATGGTCAGTGTTCTGTGTGACAGCTTATCCGAGAATGCCACAAGTTATCCCCGAATGGTATGGAAAGGTAGACGGCAGGCTGGAGGACGCGATAGAATCAAAGAGCGGAAGGCATACATTCACTGCTGATATCAATATCAATGGCATGAGTAACATGGCCGAAGAGAGCGGCATTTAGAAGCAGCCCTCCATGGAGAGCACCATGGAGGAAGCGCATGGTAGAAGGCGGCGACTTGGGAAGGCAATGGGGAAGGAAACGAGCGGCAGGAGGGTTCGGGGAAGGGACAAGAAAAAAAACGAAGGAAGGTTACGGTTGACAGCGGGGATGGGAGCCAAATAGGCGAAACGATCGAGAGGGGAAGGGAAAGAAGGAAAGAGGTCGGAGAAAGAGAAGGATAAGTTAGAATTGAGACTGAGAACGGGACAAGGAAAGAGTGAAAGAAGGATGATGGCGTTTGGCCGCAGCGGCAGCAGCAGTAAGTTGCCAGTAGCAAGCAAGCATAGGGACTGCAGCAGAAGCAAAAGCAGAAAATGGGGCCGGGGGGGAAAGAGAGGGGGGAGCGAGACCCAGCACTAGACTGCTCTGCTAGCCGCCAACCCGTCTCAGGTTCCAGATTTTGTTGTTTGATTATTTATTGTTACTCATTTTCTCAAGTCGGAAAGGAAAAAAGGAGATTACTAGCAGACCAGTGGCTAGCCATGGGGGGAAAAGAGGGACAATCGGGCGGACCACGTCAGCTTCGCTCGTGCAATGATCATTGAGAACCGTCCGGTTATTCTTGGAACAAATTGGGGACAGTGTGCCCATGGATGATGAATGGTGCGACAAGATTGTTCTGTCTTGGATCCAGGGTCGATTCAATCCAGGCTTCTTCCGTCTGGGTGCTTTCTTGTCTGGGACATGGCTTTGGTAGTTGTAACCAGTCTTCATTGTCTTTTTACACTTTCCTGCCCCTGGTGGACATCGGTATGCGGTCGGGTCCCAAGCTTTTTTGCCCAGCGTTGCCAATATTGCCAACCCCCGATCGGTCCGTGTCACAACACACAAGCATGAGGCCATGTGCCGCTGAAAAAAAAGTAAGGGGTGAGACATGACATTTTAGTTGCTGGGCGGTAGATCTCGATCCTCCAGGCTGGCTGGCAGGCTGGCTTTCTATCCTTGACTCAGCATGTCAGCACAGGTCAATATTTTATGTGTATCTAGCGATCGTATGTGAACACAAAGAAAAATCGATACTATGTATTTCTCTTTCTTCCTTGAGGCCACACTCACAGAGATTTCGCTTGATGACGGAGTAGCGAAGATCAACACGCACATCACAGCGATGGCTCCCACTGCTGCCTTGTCTGCTGAGCATTGGGGGCCAGCCACCACTGCGTCATTTCCGAAAGCTGGAGGCAGGAAAATAGATACGAATACGAGCAGAACCCGATCAACAAGGTTAACAAAGAAAGAGGTAGCCAAGTCAGTGTAAGACAACACTAAGCACCGCTGCAACAGATAATCTTAGTCGTGAAACCTGTTCTCACGGATGACAGAGAGTATGGAAGAAGGTGATTGAAGTTGGGTAGTTTCGTCCACCCCCGCAAGGGCTCGCCATTGGCTCCACTACCAACTATGTAGCGCTCTTACTAGGTACCTCGTCCATACAACAAATTCAGTTCGCGGAATTACACTCGAATGGTTAAATGGGTACGGTAAGCATGACTTGCGCATTTATTTCTAACAGGTCGTTTACAAGATGTGCAAACTATGGGTATCAGTAATAGCACTGCAGAGAGCCAACCTGGTGGCATGAAAGGTTACGAGCAGTTTGGTGCGAAATGTCAAATTTGGTCCAAGGAAAAGACAAACGTCGCTTTCCTTCCATGGACATGAGTTAGATAGGCATCCAGCTCGTGCTCCTCGTCGATGACAAACGAGATCTCGTTGCCTTTCTCGTCGCGGTCAGTACCCTCGATTTTTGTGATGACCGCGTCAGGATATCTCGCTGCAACCAATTGCTGGAGTTCCGTCACCGATCTGGCGGTTAACTTATCCACCCAGGTCTTAGCGTCTCCATGCAATGGACTCTGGGGGTGGATGCGGAGATAGACGGGCACGTGCAAGAGGGACGACCCCAGCATCGGATCCACATAGCCAAAGGCATTGCCCGAGTCCGCATGAGCAGCGGTGGCAAAGGACGGGTCGTTCGCAGCTTGCAACAGAGAAGGGTCAATCTGGATGTCGCCCAAATCGGTGTTCGACACTGATGCACTGGCCAGGGCCTGCGAAGCCAGGGTGCTGATGCCATTCGCGATGCCACTGCCGAAGGTAGCACTGACGCTGACTGGGGGGCTCTCCAGATCCGGGCTGGGCACATGAGAGTGCGTGACCGACGACTTCCGGGCGGGATGTCGCTTGGTTTGGTCATCGCGAAGTCGTTTCATGACGTCGCGACAAAGGACCTCGAGGGCCTTGATCTTAGTCGCATGCTCGGGATCCGCAGCGCCGGGGGCGAGGATGCGCCGTAGAAGCTCCGAGTTCTGGATCCATTGTTCCTTCAGTTCCTTCCAATGTTCGTCGCCCGCTTCCAGCTTACTGGTGAAATGATCCGCCTTGAGAGTACTGTAAAATGCATTCCGAATCTGACGACTCTCCTCCGGGTTGATGCCCAGAGCATTTTTCGCCTCGGCAATGGTCATCCGGCGCTCAAGCGTGCGCATCCGCTTCGTCACATCAGTACAGACAACATCCAGCGCCAACGACTTCACATCCAGCTGATTCTGATCGTGAAACACCTGCTGGAGGTGATACGACTCCTGGATCAACTTGTTCTTCGCCTCCTGCCATCGCTCGGGCCCAGCCACCGTCTTCTTGATGAAGCCTGCTTCCTCACAGATCTGTTGAAACTGGTCCCGAATCTGCCGATACATCACATTATCCAGGTTCAGGTACTTCTTACTCTCGTCAATCGTCGTCTCCGAGGGAAATCGGGGCGGCCCTGGAGGATCCGCTGGCATGCCTGCCCATCCGCGCGTGCGCCGCCGTCGTTTCCGATTCGCCCACCGCTCCGCACTCTCTGCCTTCAACTTGTCCATTCGCTCTTTGCGCTTGGCCAGAGCCTCAGCCGACAAGGCTGGAGAGGCGGTCGGTGAAGTCGACGTGTCGTCGGCGGTGGCGACGGTGGTGGTGGCAGCAGGGACAGCGGGGACAGCGGGGACAAGAGGCTCCTCGGGCTCTTCATACGCCAACCCAGACTTATACACCTCCTGCTGCAGCGCCAGGAGACCTTCATCCTCCGGTAATTGCGGCACCGGCGTCTGCATCATCCTCGACTGCGATTTCATGCCGTTGGGGACGCGAAGCAGCCAGCGGTTCTTGGCGCGCACGCGCATCAGCTCCCGCTCCTTGATCTCGAACCCTTCCTCGTTGAGCATGCGCAGCATGTCTCGTTGGCTGGTGTTCCGCTCCCAGAGCTGTTTGACGCGCGCCACGAGTTCGACATTCTTGTGTGCTGGATTCTGTTTGGACGGGAAACCCCATCGCTTGAATTGGGTTTGGAACGCTCGTTTACTGGGGGAGACAATAGGCTGTCAGTGAGACAAAAACGAGGAGAGAGAGAGAGAGAGAGACAGCGGATCGGCGCGGGGAGACGAGTCGAGGTTTCGGAAATCAAGGGTTCAATGATTAGATACACGAATATCAAAAAGACTCACTTACCTCGGTGCAAATTGATAGACATTCTTCATATATTCCATGATCTCCTCGAGCGCCTTCTTGTCCTTGATATACATCTGAAAGCAGATTTCCCGCTTTCCTTCCCAATCGTACACCATCCTGACAAAGAAAAGCCGCGGCGGCGGCGGCGGCGAAAGCGGCACCTTTTCTTTTTCCCTCCGCAGGGGGAAGACGGCCGAATGCCCCAGGGGTAAGTGACACACCCAACGAAAGGGAAGGGAGGGAGGAAAGGCGAGGAACGCCTTCTCGCTCTCGACGAAAGAGAGAGTGAACGAGCTGGTGAGTGGAGTACGGGTTGTATAGATCGCCAAACAGACGTCGGTTGTCCTTGTTGTACCCCGTAGTGCGTCTGGCCCTGGAACAGTGTCCGGTGAGCTTTCTGGACAACCGTAGTAGGTTTCGCGTTGGCAGGTGGCTTTCGAAGGGGGTGAGACGGAAGTTTGGGGAATACGGAGAGTCATTGAAACCAGGAGTGCGAGCCGTTGTGGGTCATGAGTAAAGCCCACGTGACTGGCACGTCATCATCGCCGGCCCACCTTTTCTGCCGATCATGAGTCCTCCAGCTTCGGCAGGCGGTAACCGATTGAACAGTTTTCCCGGCTACTTTTCTTCCCCTGTACACCTGTAAAATCGCGCCGCGAGGTTGCGAGGTTCCTTAGTTTCTGCCATCTGGAGCGGTGAATTACGCGGTGAGGAGCGCTCATTCTGCCCATAAGCAAAGGCGGTACGATGTTGAACAGGTTTTCCAGATAACTTTTTCCAGTCTGTACACCTGGTGCAGAACGAATTCTCGTTACGAGGTGGCTTAGTTTCTGCCACTTGAGGCGGTGTCCAATGCGGTGAGAACCTGCCAGCCACGCCCACTACCCATACCCGGTCCTCCCTTCCGCCCTCCCACCCCCAAAGAACCGGGGCCCGCCGATCCTCCGATTGCGGCGGTTTCTCTATCGGCCGTTTATAATGAGCTCGAGTCACACTTTAAACTCTCCCTGATTCCTGCAACACCACCTGCCTACTACAAATTCCGCAATTTCACCATGGCTGCTGCTGCTAGAACCCTTCGCATTGGTACGTTATTCTGATTCTGTGATGTTTGTGCATCGCGAGAGCATCCAATTGATATCCTCACTCCATCTATACAGGTCTCATCCCCGGAGACGGTATCGGACGGGAGGTCATCCCGGTGAGTCACTTTTCCCAGCAATGGTTGCAATTGCTGCTCAGCCACGACACCCCCCAAACAAAAAACTGACAACAAGCTCCAAACAGGCCGGTCGCCGCGTTCTGGAGGCTCTCCCCTCCTCGCTGAACCTGAACTTCAGCTTCGTCGATCTGGATGCCGGATTCGACACCTTCAAGCGGACCGGTACCGCCCTGCCGGACAAGACGGTCGAGACCCTAAAGAAGGAGTGTGATGGCGCTCTGTTCGGAGCCGTGAGGTATGTTCGTTCCAGTTCCGTAAAAGAACAGCCCAAAACCCCGCCTACCAACCCCACCATACTAACCCAAGCCACGAAAACACAGCTCCCCCAGCACCAAGGTCGCCGGGTACAGCTCACCCATCGTCGCGCTCCGCAAGAAGCTCGACCTGTACGCCAACGTGCGGCCCGTCAAGACCACCGCCGGGGGCAGCCACAACGGCAAGCCGATCGACCTGGTGATCGTGCGCGAGAACACGGAGGACCTGTACGTGAAGGAGGAGACGACGCGCGACACGGCGGAGGGCAAGGTGGCCGAGGCGATCAAGCGGATCTCCGAGCGGGCGAGCTTCCGCATCGCCAGCATCGCGGGGGAGATCGCGCTGCGGCGCCAGAAGATCCGCGCCGCGGGTCCCCCGGGACTGTCCACGACCGCCCGCACCAGCCCGATGGTGACGATCACGCACAAGTCGAACGTGCTGTCGCAGACGGACGGGCTGTTCCGCGAGACGGCGCGGCGCGCCCTGGCCGCGGACCGGTTCGCCGGCAGCGTCGAGGTCGAGGAGCAGATCGTCGACTCGATGGTCTACAAGCTCTTCCGCCAGCCCGAGTACTACGATGTCATCGTCGCGCCCAACCTGTACGGCGACATCCTGTCTGACGGCGCCGCCGCCCTCGTCGGCAGTCTGGGCTTGGTGCCCAGCGCCAACGTGGGCGATGGCTTCGCCATCGGCGAGCCCTGCCACGGTAGCGCCCCCGACATCGAGGGCAAGGGCATCGCCAACCCCATCGCCACCCTCCGCAGTGTCGCCCTGATGCTCGAGTTCCTCGGCGAGGAGGCCGCCGCCGCCAAGATCTACGCCGCCGTCGACGCCAACCTCGATGAGGGCAGGTTCCTCTCCCCCGATATGGGCGGGAAGGCGACCACCCAGCAGGTTCTGGATGATGTCCTCAAGCGTATGTAAGAGGGTAACGCTGCGGTTCGGTGTATATTAGCGAGAGGTATGGATTTGGTAGAAGTACACAAAAAGTAGGAACAATTGCGGTTTTGTATGCTAGGTATAGCCGGATTGGGGAAAAGAATTGATGTTCATGCTGTTAGCAAATCGTTTGTGTGGTGTACAGTAACCTAGGAGCTTGAAGTGGTAACGGCGCCTCCACAGATTTTATGTCTGGTATTAGCATTCGGTCCGTCCACACTCAGGTTGACGTCGCACAACCTACGTACTGCATGTCCGTCAACGCCTGTCCACATTTCAACAAACTCGGTAGCAAATTGGCCACATTCCTTGATTTCAGTATATATAAGAGTTGGGTTGTGTATCCAAAGCCCAAAAGCTTGCTGCCCAAGACCATAACATTTGATATGACATCCAGACTGCAATCACCTCGGCCCCGATCCGTACTTCAGCCTGGATCTTCTGTACTGTACCAATAAGTGGCCGCGTGGCAAAGCCAAATCTTGTAAGTGCAGTACCATCGCAAGCCCATGCATAAATCAATAAATGCAAGACATACAACTCATATCTCATCTTTCTCGTGTTCTCGGTCAGAGCAAAAATATCCAAAATGCCCCCGAAAGCCGTATATACACCGAGGTCAACTATACAAAAATCGAGACAATCGACTACCAGAAAGAAAGTCGTCGTCATACAACGGAGAATCAAACCAAAATATCAGCTCAATCACTCCAACCGGATCCGCCTCTGATTCCACCGATCCCGCGCCCGCTCAAACAGCGTCGGCAACTCATACCCCCAATGGCAGAGCATGCCGGCCACGAAGCCGACGGCATCGTTCTTGAACCCGACCAACAACCCCACGGTGACCATCATGACGGTCCACCTGCGCTTCCGCTCCCAGTCGCTCAGCATCGGGCCGATCTCCTGCGCGCCGTCGCCGGCGAACCCGTGGCTTGCCTTGCGGATATCCCGCGCCCCGGTGGTGTTCAGCGACTCGCCCACGCTGACCAGTTCCAGGCCGGCGGCGATGACCATCACGCCGAGCAGGGCGGTGGGAAAGCGCTTCAGCAGGCCGACGAGGGACTCACCGAAGAAGACGCCGATGATCAGCTTGAGAGCCCCCAGGATGATGACGCTGGCGCCGGACCGGGCGCCGAAGCGGTACTGGGCCGCCAGACCGCCGGAGCCGTGGCAGACGGGCATCGCGCCGAACCAGCATCCGATGAGGTTCATGCCAGCCACGCTGAGGCCAACGGAGGTTATGGAGGGGGTCTCCAGGGTTGGGAGGAGGTCCCCAGCCAGGTGAACAACGGCGACGACGGAGTTCAAGGTCGTCAGGGGGATCTGGCCGACACCCGCGTCTAGAGCGCCGATGCGCCATTCGTGTGCGGAAGGGATGAGGGTGTAGGGGTGCCAGAAGACGAGGGAGGGAAGGTCGGAGGCCAGCGCACTGCCGATGACGGCAAACGAGAGCCCTAGGATGAAGACGAGCAGGGCGTAGGGCACGTTGCGGTAGACGTTGGTGATGATCAGGAACAGGAAGGCGGCCACGGCCCAGATGCGGTTGTCAGCCCAGGACGGGTATAGCCATCCGAGGGACGAGAGAATCGAACCCCCTGACGCGATGATCAAGGAAAGACCGGCTCCAACTTGAATGCCTTTGATGACGGGAATGGGGATGGCATTGGCGAACCAGTTCAGGAGTCCGGTTATACTGAAGAGGAAGACGCAAGCCCCGACAAAGATACCGGCGGCGGCAATGGCTCCGTTGGTGAAAGTGCGAGCAATGGCCACGGCAGCGATGGCTTTCATGGGCTGTACGGGTAGTGGAATCCCGAAGAAAAGGCCTGTTAGAATGTTAAACAGACCAGAGAAGATCAGAGTGCTCGAAAGAGAGACAGTGCCATTGACAGCGAGGGCGATGGCAATAGGCAGGAAGGTGCCCAGATCGCCCAGAGAGCCGGAGACCTCCGACACATAGTGATGTCGAAAGGTATGGAAATTGTGCGAGGTCACTCGACGGAGATTCATGGTGAGAGAGAATGGGGAAGGAAGTATACGGAGAGATACATTCAGAGGAGTGGGTGGGAAGTAAGTATGGAGTACTGTACTCAGTAAAAGAGAGGAGGAGGAGGTAGACAGAGAGGAAAGAAGCAGGGCAGGCAGGGAAGCTGAGACAATGAGGAGATGATGATGGAACCGATGGAACCTCGTATCGGGTGAAGAGGAAGAAGGCGATAAGCTGGGGTGGGATTGTTTAGATTGTTTTAGGATTGGCTTCCATTCCCCGCACGGCATAAGAAGGAGTGAACTTAGACTACCTCCCAGTACTGTATACTGTATAGATCAGAGTTCCAACCTGCTGTCAACTCAATTCCTAACTTAATCCAATTATCTGGTTTATCTGCAGAAAAAACAACCCCAGACAGACCGGGAAATACAGGGAAACAAACAACGCTGACACAAACCGGAACCACTTCCGCCTGTCATCCGTCGGCATTCTCATCCGGTCCACTCAGGTTAACTTATAGTATTCTCCGATCTACCAAGCCAACTCATTATATAAAATCTTCACAATACTCTTTTATCTGTATACATCCCATTAAAACCACCTCATGTACATTCGAAGTAGATAGGCAGCAGTAGGAGACAACCCCCCCCCCCCCCCGGCCGCTCAAATCCCCCCCCCCCCCCCCGCAGCAATGTAACCTCCTCCTCCTCCTCCTCCTCCATCCCTTACCGCAACCCCTCCCCCCGCAAAAGTCCCTCATCCCTCACAAGAACTTCCCACTCGAAAACCGACTCCCAAAATCCGCCGCCTTACTCATCATCTCCCGCCTCTGCGCATGGGAAATCTTCCCCGCGAGCCCCATATCCTTCTCGCGATCAAACGCCCGCTTACTCGGATCATCCTCCTCCTCCTTGTGGGCCTTCTTATGCTTCTCGCGCGCCGCCGCATCCTCCCTCCGCTTCTCCTCATTATACCGCTGAATCTTCTCCTGCATTGCCTTGGACGGCTGAGTCTGCTTAGCCC